TTCCCATTAGTCACTTAGTAGCCATATCAGTTATTAGATCAACTGTCTTGGTATTGCAGTGCTTCAAACTTTATTTTGTTCAATAATGGCCCTAAAACACAAGAGTAGTGATGCTGGCAATTTGGATATGCCAATCAGAAGCCATAAATGCTTCCTTTAAGTATCATTTCATATCATCACAAGAAGTATAAAGATAGTACAATAAGATATTGAGAAAGAGATGTCACATCCACTTAACTTTTATTATGGCAAATTGTCATAATGGTTCTCTTTTGTGAGGAGTTATTGTTGTTAATCTGTTAATCTGTTACTGTGCTTAATTTATAAATTAAACTTTATCATAGTTATGAATGCATAAGAAAAAGACACATGTTGGGTTCAGTACTATGCAAGGTTTCAGCCATTGGGGGGGTCTTGAAATATATCTCTCACAGATAAAGGGGGCCTAGTATATTTGTGAAGTTTGAGAGATTGTTTTTCTGAATGAAAAGGAGGCTTATATCTTATACTCCAGAAAAAAGTTCAGAAAGCTATAGTGATTGGAAGAGGCTGAATGAGAGGGGACAAGAAAATTCTCTTGTGAGGCTTCCTCCTTGAGTTCCTGAAAATTCGGGGCAAGGATGGGGATATATATATATCCCCATTCCTCCAGACTTATCCGAGTTGGGATTGAAAACTGTAGACAAGGATGAGAGTTGTAGCTTGGTGGAGACTGCCATAACTTGGGTCAAAGAGTAATATGCAGCCATTCTGGGTACCATCTGCAGCCAGATAGAAGATGTGTTTGATATTTAAAAGGGCTGTTTTGTGCCTAGGGAAGTTTCTTGGGATTGAAACCCTCACCCATGGACATCCTCCATCTACCTAGTCTAGATAATCAGCTGGTTCAGCAAGGATGACAGACAATAAGAGTCAGTGGCTACCTTGTCACCACTGATGGGTGGTTGCTCATAAACGAGAATAACACTTACAACGAACAAATCAGTAATCCTCAATGCCCCTTTTGCAGCCACATAAGAGAAAGTCTTTCCCTGCTACAAGCTGAGAGACAGTCAGAGGGATGAGGGAAGGGGCAAGAGAGCATAATAATGGTGTTGCTGACTTCCTCTCCTTTCCCCACTCTCATGGACTCTGTCTCACCAAACCACTGCAAGCACAAATCTATTCTGTACTTGGAGGAGGGGGAGACATTAATATTCTAACTGGGAGCCTCAATAACCTAATAAGAAATGAGAATTATAAGATCAAACTAAAATATTATAAAGAGTCTATTCAGCTCAGCTGACAACAGTCATTTGTATAATAAAGCAATTCCATGTTTATTCCCCCAATGAGTCAATATGCCTCAATCAAAATGGTTAAAAAAATGAAAAACGACTCCATAATATTAATGTAGAATTCGAGAGAAAATGCAATCAGTGATCAAGTATAATTTCCTCAAAGGATAACCATGACATTCAATAAAGATTTATAAAACAAAATGTTGCTGGGTACAGTGGCACACTCCTGTAAATCCCAGCACTTGGGAGGCTGAGGCAAGAGGATTGTGAGTTCAAAACCAGCCTTAGCAACTTAGCAAGGCCCTCAGCAACTCAGCGAGACCCTGTCTCTAAATAAAATATTTTAAAAGACTGGGGATGTGGTTCAGTGATTAAGTACCTCTGGGTTCATTCCTGGAGCTGGAT